GAAATGCCAAAAAATTGACTTTCAACTCACGAATGTGCGCTTTGGCTTTGGCTTTCTAGTTAGAAATCCGTGCATTCTATATATGTCTCTCGACATCGTTTCAAACCATTCCCATAATTGCTAGTGCGATTTATGTTTATACAAACGTAGATTTTGTCTAAAAAAAGTCTAAAATAATAAATAATGACGACCCTCTAACCACACAAAATGTAGGCCCTACCAATCGGACACATTCGTGCGTTGAATGTTATATAGGACAAATAAAACGTTTTACTCGTCTAAGACGCTTTTCGCCCACAATGACGTAATTTTGGTTCTTCTTTCTGTGGTAGGCGCGCCAGACAATAAGGGCGGCAATGAAGACTGTGCGAAGTACCTCAGAGACAGAGATTATTGGGATGATAGTCAATGTTCCAAGATCTGTAATTTTATATGTGAAACGAAGGCGATTTAGGTACTGGCCATTATTGATAATACAGGGCAAGATATGGAGGGTGGTATTAACAATTTTTTTTTTTTTTTTTTTGGGGGGGGGGGGTCTTTCACCGTCTATCGGAAGTAGAAATAACCTGCATTGTTTCAGCCTGTAGCTTTGATTATATACATAACACCGATCACCAACGAAACTTTTCAATATTGTCATAATAAAACAGTTTTCTGGGTGGCAAGTTATTCACAAACTTAAGTGTTTAAGAATATGTATTTTGTTGTTTTTTTCCTACTTGTTTTGAAAAGCTAACCAAACTTCTAGTTGTTGGTGAACTTACAGTGCATTATACTAGTTAACCTACGGTCCTTAAGTGCAACCAAAATTGTCAAATGGCCGGTTCCTTCGGCATTGACAATTAAAACATGACGATGCAGCGCCTTATACTGTTCTTATATATATATATATATATATATATATATATATATATATATATATATATATATATATATATATATGAAAGTCCCCCGACAGAGAGTCCGCTTCCCATGATTTTGTACAGGTGAGCCTCGCCCTAGATTTTGACACACTTAGGCCAGACTAACCTTTACAATTATAACTATATGGAGTGCGGACTTTCAGTCACACGGACCCTCAGTTTCGTGACACCTGTTGGCCCAAAGTCTACTCTAAAATCAAGCGATATTTCGCGAGATATGAATCAGAGTCGGCATATTTGGGACGAAGAAAGGCAGTTACTCGGTTCTCATTTTATTTTAATTGTAGGCTACACTGTGCTATGTGTAATGGAGACAAAATGCCACAATTTGCAATCTACTCAACGAACCTCCGTCTTGGGAGCTTGATCCATATGTTATTTGACTTGTACGTTATGTAGGTCTACTTCGATCAGCTATTATGTACACGTTAATTTTATTGCCTTTTGACGCAACACATTGTTACGTAGCTTTTCAGGATTTAAAAATCTATTTAAATCCTTATATATTATGAAATCTGTAGGAGATTTATATCTGTGGACTACATCGGTAAAATAATTTACTGTCTAGTTATTAGAGTCATTCATACACGTTTTGCGAGTTCAAGAAAGGAGATACTGCTCGAGTGGAAGTCATGGTGGGTAACTGTCATGGATACATGGTTTTATTGTTTACGTTGGGTGAAAGCTCAATGTTCAAGTTTTTTTACATTGAATTTGTATGGGATAGATTCGAATTAGGTAGCGTTCGCATAACCCTGTCGTATTAGCTGGATCGATCTTTATTCCTCGGGGATTCACCCAAATTGCATTCAGTTTAAGTAGTTAAATGTCTGGCTTAAATGTCTGGAATGCCCCTTCATAACTTAAGGTACTTCAGTAAAGTGGAGAAAACTTTTTGACCCATGATCGATATGTTGTTCAAGTTGCTTTGTGAAGGGGATTGCCAGACAATTAACTTGATTACATTGAATGCGCCTTAGTGGGAACTACGCTGAGGTAGACAAGGTTGTGGGAACACAGTCTTAGGCTGCACAGTGAACTTTTCCAGAAGCATATGCAATTTATTTTACCATACTTATATGATACAACAGAACTATATATGTGCTAATGATTTAGGCGCCTTACTGCGCATTAAGTGAGGAAAGAAGTGATTTCTTGTTTGTTTGTTTGTGGTTGAGGGGGAGGGTCATAATATAATATAATATACAGAGAGGCAATGTACGGTACATATGTTCTGTTATGATCTCCATAGATTTCTATAGAGACTGTAATCTTAATGTTGTGTCTTTGCATCAGCTGCATATTAAATATAGATATGTACAGTACATGCACTCCACATTTGATCCTTTTTAGTCGAGAAAAAAATAAATAGTCTGGTAACACTACGAAATCTTTGTGTGTAGTATCACAAGCAAAGAGTTGGAGGGGTCAGGAATTCATATGAAACTGGTTATTTTTGTTGTTGTTTATCTTTTGAGAATTTTGACGCTTTAGGCTTATCTTTAGATAATAAATATTTAAAAATAAACTATCAGTAAGAGGTATAGTAAAAATGATAGATAATTAATATTATATTTGCAATGTAACCTACTCATGAGACTTTCCATGGCCAGAGACATTTAAAGCTGTTCTCGGGTCCGTAATGGACACTGGAGATCATTTTGGTAGAAAAGATGGTGCTTTTAAAGGCAGGGAAGTTCTCGTGCATGATGTTGGTGCTACTGCTGTGGAACGTGAAGGCAAAGAGATGAGTTTGTTACAGCTGAGTTCTGCAGTTCTCACACAGCATGTAAAACACTTACTGGAGGCTGTCGGGTAGGACTATGGATATATCTTCTACTTAAATTCGTATTTATTTTTAAAAGTAACTTTTGTAACTGTAGAATTTTATGTCAAATTTCCTGACAGTTTCTAAACTGAAACCAAGTGGACAGTGCTGTTACCAATTAAGGTCTAGTGAATATGCCGAAAGTTTGAAGAACTTTTGAGAATTATTAATCAGGTTGAATAGCATTAAACTTACAACTTTTGTGAATAATATGTAAGTTTGCAAAATGTAGTGTAACTCAATCTTTTCAATGGGGGAAAGTTTCTGACAAATTCTTGAAATAAGAATGTTTCTGTTGAGTGGTAGTAAAAAGCAGACCACGTTGTATTTTCGTTCTATACAGTGAAAGCACCTCAAATACTTAACAAAAATGTATTTTAGTGATTTCAAAATTGTATATCAGAAAGATTGATATTTTTCTTTCCATTGAAAGGATTGAGTTATTACGGTACCACTACATGATTCTTTTTATTTCCTTTTAAAGGCATACAGTATGCATTTAGAACTTTGATTATACAGAAAAAAAAAAATAAATACAAAAAATTAAAAAAATCGGGAAATGTCAACAGTTTCCATTAAATCACCAAAGCATACACTCTCCAAAAGTGTTGAGAAATTGCTTTTCATAAACTTGTTACCAATTTTTGAATTTCCCCTTTTTGCCATTTTAAGTTTGAAAGATATTCGTGTTTTTTCCAGATATTCTGTGAACATTGTTGGCTGAGGAAAATCCCAGAATGATATTATTTGCACAGACAACCGAGTTTCAGTAAAAGATGCAGTTACTATTGATGCACAGGATTTTCTTCCACTTAAGATAGAAACCCATGACTGTAGAGGAGGCAGTGACTCCTTGTTTAAAGATAATGGTGATATTGGGGACACCCAGCTGATGAAAATAAATGCAATGATAGACAAAATAAGGGAATGCAAATACTGCAGAGAAGTAGAAATTACGAAACGTGAATTTCAAGGAGATGAAGTGAAACAAAAAATGATAAGGAGGAACAATTGTATGTGGATTTAAAGCAATATTTACATGACTCTGGTATTTCACAAGACAAAGAAGGTTACGATAAAAGTCTGGACAAGTTGTACGGTGATTAGTTGATTTTCTTCTTTTGTTATTTTAAAACATTGGATGCATTCTCAGGTAAATGAACATTTGTATACCTTTTTCACTTCGCAATATTAACCTTTTAAAGAAGGTTCACTTCTTATCTAAACCTTGTGCATACCCTCTTTAAAATGCAAACTGCATCTTCGACTAGAGAAAATAGTCCAAATATGTTCATCTCTAGAACACTCGGGCTATATTTTTTAAAAAAATCAAGCAAAATGAGTTCCATTTATAACCAATTAGTTATCTTAAGTTTGCACATATTCTTCATCAGTTGTTACTGGTACTTCATATTCTTTCCTATAGTTCATACAACCAATCCATACAGCCCCCATTTGGAGCAAATTGTGGTTCTTGATGAAAATGTTAAATTAATGATGGAAAAAGAAGTAGCTTTATATTGAGGTTTGTATCAGCCAGCCTACAGCTGATAAAAAAATTCGACATGGCACCAGTAAAGTGCCTTTGATTTATAGAAGCTGATTTAGTTTCAAGATCATATTCATTTGGGAACCTTTAAAATTCATATCATGAATACACAAATGAATCAAATGAGTCACTCGAGTCTAGTTCTTCAAAATTTGAATCCAAAATGGGAAGCCAAAATTAGCTTTTAAGACGGTATATAGAGATTTTCTGAAGATGGAAATATAAAATTTGCCTGTGACTCATTCAAGTGGAAATCGGGTTCAGTTTGACATATTTCAAGTCTATTTTTTCAGCCTGAAATGTGTATCCATGTGGAGCCATATACACTTAGACCACGGTGAAAGTGAAGTACAAAAGACGCAGACCTGGTGTACGTAACTCGCATAACCGCACGTCTCGCATGAATGCGCTCTAACCCGCTAATCGACCCGTTGTCTAAATAAGATAGATCCCGAGTCAGCGAGGGTTATGTGGCATACACGAGTGCGTATCTATTACATGTCCTTCATGCAACAACAAGTAGATCTGCTGTGGGAGATGACATCTGACGCTGCTAAAAATATCTCACAGGTTGGGTCAAGGTCAGATAGGTCAAGGTTATACCATGTAGTGATGCTCTATATGTACATGTACCATGCCAGAGAAACCCTATTGAGAAAATGTGCTTAGAAAACTGTTGTGCAATGGACTACTACAGTTTCGGTATTTAGTCTCGTCTTTCAGTGTACAGCATCCTCAATTCATTTGGTAACTGCATTTGATCGGGATGGAATTACATTTCAGTCTTCTTAGGCCACAAAATGACATTTTTAACAATTTTTTTTTCGAAACATCAAAATTCTATCATACCCTGTTTGTGAAGCACCACATTTGACCCTTTTTAGTCGAGAAAACGTAGCGTGGTTGGGGTTAAGATTAAGGCTGCTAATAATGACAGCGTAACAAAATGTTGAGAAGATTTCTTTGATAGATTCAAAACATTCACTTTTATAGAAACAGAACATACACCTTGTGAAGTACTGTGCAAGTGTGCCGAGGAAGACTGTTCTAAAAGATGCTTCAGAAAGATGCTGGACACCAAAACGTCTTTTTACTCCAACCAATCCCCCGTTTTAGATGATGCAGAAGTTCTTTTCACAGTCCGAACATGTTTCATCTTCTCTAACACAATCCTTTTTGTCATACGTTAGTCACACTGCAGATTTTCGCCTCCAACTGTTAGCTTATCGATGATTTCAGAATATCGTCGTGTCTTTTATAGGTTCGCATGAGCCCAAAGAACTAGATAAGGAGTCACTGAACTAATTTTGGCTTTTGCCTAACATATATGTACACTGCACTAGAAACTTCAGATTCTGTCGGAGCCCAATTTTGCTGCTTTGGTCTTGTCAAAATATTCAGCACATCTCGTAGCTGGTACCATAAGTGTAATATTACTGTCTTTATCGAACTTACAGGGAAAATCGAAGTTTCCGATCTTCATTTAAATTTTCAAGTGTCAACCTTCTGCTTTTTCTCTTCCTGCGCCGCTCCCTTCATCTTGAGGACGTAGACAGGTAAACAGAACGTGAGACACGCGATGCATACGTTAGCCACGCTAAACTGAAGCAATAATTATAATCAAATAAACTTTAACGTCTTGACGGTCGGCTTAAATATTTTTTGTTATTAGTTCTAAAATTTGAAATACAAAATAAACATTAAAAAATTACTCATTCAAATAAATGATGCGCTTATAAATAAATAAAAAAATAAATAAATTTAGCTGAAAACTGGTCGAAAATGCACTTACAAACAAAGGTCTGCTGTCGAGCCCCGACTTGAGCCAGTAAAACAGAGGATACTGAAGACTTGCAAACACAGTTTGTATGGAAAGCTGGATGGAGTATATCTTGCCGAAATGTTGCAAGGGAAACCTAAGGGGAAAAAAGCAATGCTTTTTATATGTAACATTTTCGTAAATATATAATGACTTAGAGAGAGAGAGAGAGAGAGAGAGAGAGATTGAGAGATTTGCATCTACGCAATACATACCTACAAGATTATTTGATTGAATTTATCCGAATTTAGAAGAGGCACAAGTATAAAAAAAACCTGCTTAATATTCGCAGTCAACTTTGCTATATTATAGGTAGGGCAGAAGGGACAGGAAATTTTGCATGGTTTTGTCTCATATCGTTTGTAATATTGCCTTAGGGTGGTTTTTAAGCTGGAATCAGGTCATCAACCACGCCCCTCTACTTTAAAAATTGTCTCTCTTTAATACACACTTGCCGGGGGAAATAACTGATGACGAAAACTGTTAACGGTTAAATATTGTATTCTGCGCGTAGATGGTAAAATAAAAATATAAAAAGGAAAAAAGTAGAGTAGCTTACGCGGGTATATGGAGGAATAGAGTAAATGAATTAACATATGATCATTGTAATAAACAACCCTCATGACTGAAGATTTATTTTACAAACTCTTTAACTGCTGTCATTTTGGCATATAATGTACCCATCTTCATGAAAAACCAATTAACTCTCGACTTCTGTCAACCTGATGTCTGCGTTGATTGCAATCGCAGTGAATATGAATACTGTGCATGTGCTTGTTCAAGCGGGAGTGATTTTTACATAACCGCTTCTCTTTTTCCTTTTTTTCTGTCCTGCCTCGTTATCTGCCTTCTCATCTAGTCACTTAGACCCCATTCCCAGAGATTAGATCGATCCAACTAGATCGACCTAACTCCCTGGGGGTTCACGCTAAATAGCTGTCAGCCGAGCGGGCACGAAAGTTAATTACCCCCTTACAGCTTGTAGTAGGCGGGACGGACATTTAAGCCGGATTATCTGACAGCTATCTAGTGAGACTCCCCATGGGGATAGATCGATCTAAAATCTATGGGAATGCGCCCTTAAATGTGTATCGTAATGTAAAAGATATGAAAAAATACGGGCACACCATACTTACGCATATGCCAAAAAAGATATATGAACCCCATATGTGAAGGTTCTTAGCAGACTGTGTAGTAGCATTGCCACGTATTGAACTTCTAACACTGGTACAGCACATAAAGACCAAAGACTTAGTCCCGTAAAACTTGTGATGAAAAAGGGAACGAGAAAGAACTTTGGCTGAGCTGAAAGAATAAAGATGAAAGTTATGGATATTTTATTATGAGGAGGAAACATACAGCTTTTGGAATGATATGATTAAAGTTAAAGATAAGACGCTAGTAAAATAGTTTATGATTTGGTCATTGTCAGTTGTATTCGCAAAAGAGATGTTTTCTTACACCCCATTTCCATAGATTTTTAGATCGATCTATCCCTGTGGGGAGTCTCACTAGATTACTGTCAGCTTGGCTGACTTAAGCGTCTGTCCCGCCTACTAAAAGCTTTTAGGGGGTAATTAACTATGGTGCCCGCTCGGCTGTCTGCAATTTAGCGTGAACCCCCAGGGAGTTAGGTCGATCTAAGTCTTAATCTCTAGATCGATCTAAATCTCTGGGAAAGCACCCTTAGTCTTCTTACTTGTATCCACTAAAAATATAAGCTCATGATCAAATGTTTTGGGAACATGGGGGTGAGGGTTGCTTGTATCCCAGGGGCCATTCCCATTGAAACTATCGACCAACGAAGATCGATCTAACACTACGAGGACTCTCGCTGAAGGCAATCAGTTTAGCAGGCGCCTCTTCCTGGCGTTGAGTAAACGCAATGAGTAAAATACAGAAAAGCTGGTGACAATACGAGTACGTTTGAAACAAGAGGAGGCGTGTTAATAGGCGTGTTAACTGATTGCATTAAACGAGAGTCCCCGCAGATTTGGACCGATCTACGTATATACTGCTAGTTTAAATGGGCCCTGATCAGACGAACAGTTAATTAGCTCAAGATTAAAGTTCAAAATTCGCCCGAAGGCACTCTTGATTTCCACTTTAAGAATTAGTCTGGGTCAAGCACTTTCTGAACACACTTTCGACCTTACTACAAGTGTAACAAAGGTCTAAGCTTCCTGAAAATTAAATCAATTTCTCTTAATGGCGAAATTAAGGTATATCATATCTGAAACAATTAAAAAACCAAGATCCATTTAACAGTTTCTGAGTGCATAGTTTCTGTTTTGAGGCCGTCTGGTCACGGAGATTGGTCCGGGCCCGGGTGCATGTTTTACTTATGACAATATAAAGTAGAAATTAAAGCCTAAAAAAAACGGGGGTTAAAATCGTAATTTTTTCTTCGAACTTGGGTAGGTAAAAGGTAAAGGGAAAATTGCGGAAAATATCCATGAAAAATTACTTGCATTTCAAACAGTATTTACGTTACTGGCCACCCACCTTCAGACCCCATCTGAGCTCTGTTTCTCTGTCTGTCCACCATGTATCCCCCCAGCTACGGCCATCGGTACGCTAGTGGTCAGTTGGAGGATACCAAGGACGTTAGTGTAGTGGCTCACTGGAATCGAGAAAAACTGTAATTATTTAACTAAAGATAATACTGGGAAATAAGTATAATTTGTTTGTTTGTCTGTTACATAAAATATTATTCGATTTTTGATTAAATGTATTGTATTGAATTGCAAACAGGAGTATTATATTATATTATATTATATTATATTATATTATATTATATTATATTATATTGTTTGTCATGAGTCAAGTAGAGCTAGTCCTGTCAAATATAATGACGGACTGAAATTAATTACTCAGGAAACAAGTCCTTTAGTAGCCAGGAAATTGTCATTGGACGCCTGACTCCATTACGGATATAAACCGCATAAACTATGTCCATAAAAAGTAATGGAGGAGGTAGAGAACAAGATCATTATCGTTTCATAAAAAATCAAAAGTCAATCAGCTTAAATTCTCGCTTACTAAGACATTGCTATAGCCGACTAACAGGTTGTTGCATTTAACAAAGAAGCCTACATTCTAATTTTTTAGCTCCAATTTTTTTGGAGGGGGGTGTCTTTTGAGAACCTCTCCTTGAAGCTTTTATATGCAGTGGTGATAGTAGCCCATTTCGGTTGCATTTATTGTAAAGCAATTATTTTTCATATCTCTTAGACCTACATGTAGGCCTACATTACGAAGTTGACTTTGCGAATATGAAGTAGGCTATCCGATTTTATCAGCTTAAGGTTAGTTCAAGAGTTTCAGACTTTTTGTGAAACGGACCCCGGTATATCTTGAATAGCACCTGTACACGCTAAGTACATTTTACAATGGTGATGACAGTTCATTCATTCAATTGTCTGTTAATTGTGTTACAAATGGCCGCAATACAACACTGCAACGATAGAGGAGTGTGGCGAACGCTCGCTAGCAAGTAAATCTTTCCAAACTAATATTTAAAACTCACTTCTATCAGAAGCACGTCTCTGTCGTTTTGACGGCAACGGCAGATACACGCTGGAGATTATTTTAGAATAAACCCTAAAGCTTGGAGTAATGGAAGCAAGATCCCTGTGGTCGTTGATATACGACATTGCCTCTCACCTTTACTTTGGTCCCCGTGTGATAGGTAATCTATGATCGAGTTGAAGCTCCCAAAATACATCATTACCAACAGAACATTGCCAACAAACCAGATTTCCGTTGTCCAAAACAACGGACTTTTGAATATTGAGGAAAGCTGGGCAGTATCATCCGAGTTTTCTTTTGAGTCATGGGATAACGGTTTCAGCTCTGCATCGATGATGTTAATTTCTTCGTGCGTGTCTGAAGACCTGTTTTCTTTTTCCCCGGCTGCTTGGGAACCGTTCCTTTTATCGTCGGAAAAAGACGTAGGAGGTAAAAGAGAGATGCTTTCTGCCGGTGCGTGTGTGCCCCCTTCCTTCTCATTTTCGTTTGTATTCAAGTTATTTTGAATGTTGACATTTGGATGTAAGACATCCGCACAAGCTTCATCATCTCGCTCGGTTATAGCATTTTTGGAATTTATTTCGAGTGGTGTCAAACAATTGAACGAGTACAGCGACAAAGCCCTACACTTTGTAAATACATTATCTGCCGCTTTGTTGTTTGTGTCGTGGTCCCTAGGGGGCAGCAAAATCGTAGTAATAGTAGAAATGACGAAACCAATGCACGCAAATACCACCATGGAGCTTTGGTATGGTATCCCCGCGTCATAAGCTAGCTTGAAATTAAATGAAGAAAAAAGTTTATCTAATGAAATAAGTAATACGCTTACATCTAAATAAAAAAGAGATCACTTGTATTAATTCCTCTAGTTATCAGTCTTGAATGTTCGTTGTTAGGCATTGGATAGCATTTGAAGCCAACATCCACTATGTCAAGAATGTACCTGTCTTTTTGGAAAACATCAGGTAAAAAGGGTTTTGTTTAATTTACCTTAACAAAAAGAAAAGACGACGTGCTCATGTCTGTTGCTCCAGAAACCACAATCCCAAGAGTCGTTTTGCTCTTAGGAAAAAGCTGCGGCATCTGCATATCTGTAGCAAGGTACATAACGCCCCCTAGGTATTGGGCGATGGATCCTGGAAATAGTAGCCATTCCAGACCTGAAACGAAGAGTGTGCGTGACCAAGGAGTTCCAACTCCTTGGTATGATCAGTGGCTATTTCTAGCGAGATGCTAGAAAGACCCGGGTTCTTACATACATTTAGCTCTGCACTATGAGTAAATAATAAAAATCGAAATAAGAGCTGAGAATTGTCGACTTAAATTGTCATTCGCAAGACCAATTATGGAATAACATAGTATCTAAATGTATATCGACTTTTTTAGGGACATATACCTTTTAGTGACAATTTACTGGGGCAATTTAAAGTAATTTAGTGGACATAAATATATGAAACCATGATTACGGTGGTGAAAATTATACTTGTGGGCTTAAATTATCCGTTCCATTATATGTGGTCCGGGGATATCAATTATTATACCCGTTTGGTGAACATGTGACTATAGATTCAACGTCTGGTATATATAACACTCCCTGTCAATTTTGCGATGCATGTTTTTCTCTTATAACAACGGCACATCGTTTATTTGACGTGCACTAGTTTCCAAGTGGCTTAATTTGTATTACCAGCCAAGACCGTACAGCGAGGTCATGCTGGGTCAAACGTCCATAAGTCCATCTGAATACGGATTCTTGCATGCATGGACGAGTCTGTAACGTGATCGGATCAGGGGGCCCTTTGAGGACGTGTGTTTCATTGTTAAAACACACTGTGTGTCTTCAGTAACGGTATCTTTTTTATTAATTTTTCTGGCGATATTTATTCAATGACAGTTTTGGAAGCATTTTAACATCAATTCATCAATATTCGTTATCGGTATTGTGCATAGATTTACTGTAGAACTGAGCGTTACCCTCAATTCGGTCGTGTTACTTTAGGACCTACCTGGCCTCGCGAAAGCCATGAGCAATGTACCAGTGAAGCATAATGACCTGAAATAGGTAAAGGCATGATTATGGCGGGCTGATTATATATTTTTTTTAGTTAAAAAAAAAAAAAAAAAATATATATATATATATATATATATATATATATATATATATATATATATAATAAGAACTTTTTCCATTCTTATGTACATTGCATAATAAATTGTCCCCATCTAGCCTCACCGTTGGTACAACTGAACATATTTTTTGGATTTTGACCCCTTTAATAAAGTCCTGGATCTGCCGGTGTATTGATATTGCTTAATACATCCATATAAAACAAACTAATAGACCTGCATTATACGCTAGGTTACACGTACTTAAAGCATCTAGTATGTAAATCAAATGAAACACACACTTTGGATTAAATATCCATAGCTGAGCGTTCGCATTGGAAAAAAAAGTAAGGATGAGCTACATGTAGTATTGATCCCAACCGGTTAAACGGGCATGTCTTTGGGCATCTGGCCTGACCGAACGGAGCGTACATGAAGACATGCGTAAAATTAAGCATTCACTACTGCACTGGCAGCTACTTGATTTATATGACATTAATAGCATAAAATTGCTTCATCCTTTCTTTTCATTTTGAACTCACAATGCACTCACACTGTCACAAATACACACAGTTACACACATTAAAACGAGCAGGACTTACATACATATTCCTCGAACAAACCACGTTCCGCAGTGATCATATATATGCCCCAGAACTGAGGTAAAAACTAACGCTACAGACGCCACCGTGTATACTAGATTCAACATTTCTTGTTGTGGGGCACATCCAATCTCTGTTAGGTGATCGTATACTGAATCGCTGGACGCTGTTGCGTTCATGTCGGGCGAATATGTGAGAGTGTCGTTGTCGCAGAGATTGGCGTAAAACCCTGTATCCCTGAAGATGTAGACCAGCGACGGCCACCCCTGCACACACACGCTGAAGAGGCCAACTTCGATCAAAACGAAAGCCACGAGGAAAGCTTTGTACAGCGCTGGTTCATTTCCCTTTTCCATGTTTAACTGTGCGCTGGCCGACACTGGCGACTACATAAAAACATCGACTTAGTTCAGATAGCAGAAGTGCGATTTCCCCTTTTTATACCTGCTGTTGCATATTCATAAACACAATCACGTGGGTATTTTAAAACCAACAGCCAAAAGGTTTTGCTCATGGCATCATGTTGATATGATTTTGAAGTACCTGTACTTTTTGAGTACAAGGCATATTGTTGACCTTTTTTTCTAAAAATAAATACGAGTTTATTCATACAATGTATTTACACGTCCAGCAATACAATTAAGCTACACACAGCACATTACAATGCAATGATTATCAGCATTATAATTATACAAGGACTTGCTTAGTTGCATCAGGCCCGGGAGAAGGGTACGTTTTTTTTGTTTCTTTTTGGAGGGGGGAGGGTTGAACGAACCGCCCTTTAAGCCCGTTGTAATGAACCTTTTACATATGCCTATGATGAATGCCCTAAACTTAAATAATTTTGTACGCTTAATTCAAGCGTGGGCTCGAAATAGGACATTACGTTTTAGACTAACTTAGTGGATAACGCAATCCAAAGATTCCACGGTTCGTGTCAGATTTACGTAAGGTCGCGCAAAGAAAACCCAAGTCCACATAATGACCAGTTAAATGATTTATTCGTTGACGCTAGGTAACTACATATTCTAAGTGAAGCCACCTACTCTTAACTTGTCAGCTCCGTACTCCGTCGCCTCCAATCTCCTTCCTCGCTGCTTCCTTCTACCTGTCTCCCCAGCTGTCTCCCGTATATCTCTCAAGGTATTGCTTATATCCTTATTCCTTATCTACATGTATGGTCCATGACGCAAACTTCAACTACCTTTAATTGTATAATTAATTCCTTTACTTCGGCGTCATACACAGAGACCGCCGCATTACTCAAGAGCTATTAGACTACAAGACATTACGTCATACGACTTCGTATGATCTTTATGTCGGACCCGACACCGTGTGACAGAGACCTCCATTAGAGACTGCGCTTCGCATTCATTTGTACATTTCAACCTCGCCTACCCTCTACCAGGACGACAGATTGATTTTTCACAGATACTCACGGATATAAGTCTCTAGATAAATAGACAGTCATTTTGGTCTGATGTCGATTCAGCAAAAAATGTCCACAATTATAACTGAGACCCTGGTAGAGGGTAAGTCTCGCCCTAGATTTCGACACACTTAGGTCAGGCTAACCCTAACCATTATAATTATATAAACGAACCCTCAATTGCGTTACGGCAGCAAAGGGTCCGCCAGGGTCCACTGAAGCCCTCCCTTTCCCATCCCAAAATGCCTAGTATTCATTTTGGACTTTTAACAGTTATAAATGTAATACACCTATACTAATTGGGAAATGCTACACACTGAGATTGCACATTAGAACTACTGATGATAATAATAAATAGAGACAGTTTACAAATAACAGATATAAAACATAGAAATGACGTATAAGAAAATTGTACAATATCACTATATTATTGACCATAATACATTGCACAAAATGGCTAATGGTAATACTAACCTTGGCCATTATATTCTTTAAAATGTGTAAAACTATCAGCTATTTATTATAATATCCCTGAGCAGATATAATCTTTATTAGTTTTTATATATTTGTAAAGCTTTCCCCTTTCTTCTTCACACAATAACGCCTTAGATTTCAGTTAAGGCTGAATCCGAAGGACGCCAATTATGTCATATTCAGGCATCACACTCGACTGCAGAAGTTATTAACTATAAACATGGCTTAAAATCAAGATCTTCACAAGAAAAGAATATCCGTGAATATTCGTGGCTTAAAGTTTTTTTTTTTTTTTTTTTTTTTTTTTGGCAATCGGACTTCTGTATACTGTATATGTATAAAGACATGGCCATGTTTGCAGAAAAATACTTAGGACGGCTGCTATAAAATAATTTAATACGAGCAGGTTATTTCCACTTCCAATGGACGGTGAAAGGGGAATTCCCAAGCTTTATTAATACCGGTACCACCCCTCTCCATTTTTTTGCGTTATTTTAATACTAGCCGTTATCTAAATCGCGTTTGTTTCACATATAAAGTTGCAAGTCTGCAAGCATGGGGCATCCTCCCAATTTCGTCTTCCCCTGTTGTACCTCGCACAGTCTTCATTGCCTCCTTTGTTATTTGGCTCACCTGACAGAAAGAATATAACAAAGTTACTTGTAAGACATTAAGTCATTGCGGGCGTACTTAATTCATACACGATATAGGGTCCGGTTTAGAAATGTTTGAAGCGATGGCATTTCATTGCAGCTGTATGGACCTGTGCGCATGCGTAGTGAGGTAAACGCTGAGAATAAGTGCAGTAACACAACCATTACTGAGCGTTTTTTTTTTAATCTGTAAGTAACCTGGCACGTGATCGTTCTACAGCGGAATACATCATGCAGTCGATTAATGAAGTTCGCTCTAAATAATGAAAGCAGACGTAGGGCCTATACCATTGCGTCAGTTCTCAGTAGTGCCACTAGGCCCTACTTGTCTAAATGATTATTGCCAGTACACCACAGCCAACACCTTCTTAACCTGACCCGTGTCTTGCCATACTATGATACACTTAAATAACACAGAAGGCATGTAGGATGGTCTTACCAAATATTTAAGATAAAAATAGAAAGCAAACTTTGATTAACAAAGTATACTCAATTTTACTAACGGAAAACGTGCGCTGTTTACCTGGATACCACGCAGTGAACCTTGCTGGGATGTTCCCCCATCCGGACAATACCCAGGTACCTTCAGAGGCTTCATCTGTGGCTGATGTCCACCAGCAACGGTCGGATCGAGCTGAAGTTCAATGAAACACACGTACGTCACGGAACAACTAGTATCGCTTTACTGGAGACGATATGTGTATACATGTATATTGCAAGATGGCTACATGTACATACACACAATTAACAACAAAAATGAGACTTCAGACTATTTCGGAAAAATCAAGTATGTAATGCATGTGCACAGTGTTTCGTTCTTGTTGGCAACGTCACTATGTGAAGTTGTTTGCGACGCTAGGTAACATGTGTAATACACATGCATGTTAAATTTTAGACCCCATTCCCATACCTAGATCGATCTAGCAAGATCGACCCATCTACGAGGGGATTCTCGCTAAATTACATTAAGCTCAATCGTCGTAGATGTCAGGCTCGCCTACTGAAGCTGCTAAACGATAGTTAATTATCCACTAACAGCTTCAGTAGGCGTGCCAGACATCAGAGCAATGAGTGCAATTCAGCAAGAAACCCCTCGGAGATGGGTCGATCCTGCTAGATCAATTTAGGCATAGGAATGGAGTGTTACTTACCTGCATCAGCGGCAAGGAACTGTGTAATAAACCTGTGCTCCTTTTCGTCATTCACGGCGACTAGTCTTGCTCCCATTGACTCACAGCTCTTCTTAGCCTTGTAGAAGGAGCCGTCCAATGTCATATTGAAACTGTAGCAACTTGTCTCGAACATTACCTCAAACTGCCGTGGGCAAGTCACTTATGATAAAAATTAATACTAATCTCATGATATAAATAAATGATGATCAATACTCAATGTTTCTACTTTATAGTCATATATCTCCTCTTTTCTTTACTCATGAGTCATAGCTTAATTATTGTCATGAATTCGACTCCATGACAAAATGGATCTAGCACTATGTCCAAATTCCGATCGCACTTATACACTTATGTAGAATACCCAACAAAACGTTTCTTTTTAAAAATAAAAAGCAGATGAGGCCACAGTGATTATGATAAGAATTTTTAGTTTCATTTTAGGGAAAAAAACAGTTGGGATATTTGGATTTTGAAAGTAAAGTTACTAAAATTGTTGCTTGTAATTTCAGAGTTTCTTTCAATTCATCAATGTTTCTAGACATAACTTACAGTTCCGTTCACAGTGTAATCCGCCGTATGGGTAAGGACAGGTACATGTTCTCTGTTTACTCCTTTTATTCACCACACAAACTCCGCCATTTTTACATCCGCATAACTGAAACATGAGATAAGGGTGCTGCCAGTGTCAACTACATCCACAATTTCAGTATATGGATAAAAGTTTGTAATAAATAACTTATTAATACCAGAAAGACAAATTCAATGGTATCAAATTTCATATTCTTAATTGGACTTTCGCATATACTTTCACACCTTATTCTAAATCGATTCGAAAAAAAAATCATGCTATTTCACACACTATTGTTATATGCAAATCCTTTGTATTATATGCTTGTCCAAGATTATTCTTCTATATACATTATTATTTTCTTTTATGTGTATAAAATGTGTTAGAATATTCCACCTTGGTAAATTTTTCTTGTTTGACCATTTTATAATAAATTATTATTTTAGAAACATACATTTTAATTCTTTCATGAATACTTTCACATTGAAATCTCGGGTGTAACAGGAATGCAAGTCCGCTAGGAACCGTAGTCCGCTTTCCATTATTTTGTCCAGTTGACATTCGTCCCATATACTAACCTCAATACTCCAACGAACCCTAATATGTACTAATCATATGGGAGCCCGGACTTCCATTCCTGTTACACCGGGACTAGGTCGTTGGCTACATAACTTTCTTGCAAATCGGTTCCAAACTGTGTCTGCTAAATAATGAATTGAGACATTATCTGACCTAAGTCCATTATACCCCGGTGCATACACAATGTACCACGGGGATCAGCGAACTTTAAAATATGGAAATTCATGAAGTTTGCCATGCTTATAATTGTATTTTTTAACATCCTACTTGTATAAAAAATCTCACCTCCTTTTTGCTCCATTTTAGCAGTCGTTGTAATTCCCTTGGACTTAAAACTTTTCCCTAAAATGGAGAAGAAACGAAAGTCAAAAGCTCTTTAACAGGACTTGTGACCGCTAGGAGAGCAAGTTTCGGACCCCCCCTTCAATGTTGGGTCTTTGGAAATCTTTAAGGGCTCATTCCCAATGAAACGATCATTCTACGTAGATTGATTCAACTTCGCGGGGACTCTCGTTGAATGCAAACTGATTACATATTAA